TATCTAATGTAGAAGTTATAACCAAGTTCATTTACGAAACGGTCTAAGTTTTCGGGAAAGGGAGTTAAGAGGGCAGGGTCAGCGTCCCACAGCGTAGTGCCCATAGAGTGTTAGTTTTAATAACAGTGTATTACAGTGATCTTTATCTTGCAAGTATGTTTTTTTTATGCATTTGTAATTGCTATTCTTGCAAATCCACTTTGTATTGTTATTAAGTTTGTATCTGTTTGTTGTATGTTGCTCCCCATTTTCACCTTGTTGTAACTATACAGGGGATTTTACATATTTGGGGGCTGGTCCGGGATCTTTGATCCGGTCTGTGGAGCCAGTATTTCTTCCCCTAGTGAGCGTATGCACCTGGGCTTGTATATGTTTTTAGTAGTCCTTTATATCACTGTGTAGGGGTAATGGGTGGTGTGTCCATCATGACATACGGCTTAGAGGATTTTACTCTGTCCAACCTTGGAGCAATTCAAGAAATGTCACAAGGTAGATATTTTATTGATAGTGGGCTTCTTTAGCCCTTGGTTTACCAGAGAATATCAGTGATTCACCTTCTCTAAGCTTGTTCAAATCTAGACTCTTAAACATCATTTAAAAAGACCATAGCTCTAATTCTTGTGACTTCAGTGCGTTACTGCAAGGCATAGAGATGGAGGAAAAGTTTCACAATTTAAAGAGAGGTTGAACCCAATACTCACATAAGATGCATAATTGTAAAGGATTTTGTTTTTGTGTTAGTGTTATTCTGCTTTATATGGTCAGGTGTCGCATTCATAGCTTTTGATTAATAATTTTTGGGTAATGAACTCGCCTACACCACAACCTATGTGTAATTGCACATAAACTAAAAAATAAAAAAACTGAGGTTTTTAAAAATCCAAGCAGGTACTAGATGTTGTTTAAATAAAAGCTGTGAACATTTTCACAAATCGCTATCTTTTAAATGCCTGTGGTTAAGATATGTGTTAAGATATACAAACATAACAAAATTAAATGTAGTGTACATTTCTATTATTTTATTTTAGAGACCTTGTTAGAAATAAAACATGTAACCTAGCTGGGAATTGAACAAGGGACCTTTTGGGT